CCACTGTCCCTGTCGCTGACAAAGATGTTAATCAAGACTGGTCCCTGTACTGATCTTTGAGGGACTCCGCTTGTCACTGGCTTCCATTTGGACATGGACCCATTAACTCTTTTGGTGTGGCCATCAAGTCAGTTCTTTATGCACTGAATTGTCCACCTATCAACTTGGAGACTAGGATGTTGTGCAGGACAATGTCAAATGCTTTGTTCAGGTCTTGAGACGTCATGCTCAAATTTTGTATGATCAAAGTGAAGTGAGATAAGTACAGATGCTTCTGCCCAATGCATATTCAGAGGGCTCAGATTTCTCATGGAAAATGTAACAGAAGGTCCTCAGAGGGTATGATACTCATTCTTTTTCAGACTGACCTAGCATCAAATATCTTTTAATATGCAGTGTGTAGGAGTAGGTTCTAGAGGCCCTAGTAATCTGGAGATTTCATGGGCTTGATACACCTGAAAATATAATTGTGTAAACCGTGTCTGTACTATTAATTTGAACATACCCTGATAGGCACCCAAGCACATCTATACTTCTAAATTGTTGAAATGATCCGTAGCTTGGTTTCTGGCCCTGGCAGAATACCACTTTTTTAATCAGTCGTTGAGCATGGTGCAGAACCTAACATAGTCCAGGGACCACTTGCAACAGCAGCTTGTGTGTGGTAACCCTGCTGTGAAGCCTAAGAGAGTGTAACAGTATGGAAAGATGTTTCTCCATGCCAGATGACTTAAATGTTAGAAAATGGACCTGTTTAATATATGAATCCGTTTAAGGCTTAATCTTAGGCTATTATTTACACAATATTTTCTGTCTTGCAAACTGACTTGAAGAAAAGTATCCCTAAAATTACAGAGCCAAGCCAGTGTTGATATAATATGGCCCTAACTAGAGTGGCTAACATGACGTAATAACCAATACCAAATGGTTTTCAATCAACTCAAAGCTTAAGCATCCTCCTGAAAAAAGATCAATGAGCTTCCCTTAAGGTTTCTCAGGATAGTAATTTCTGTAGTCTCTTAAACATGGAACAACTACTTCATTCTCCTTTATGCAGTGTGCAGTATTGGAACAGTCACAGATGTTTCCCCTTGTTATTTATTGTCTCATGGTTGCCATCTGTTCAGTGCAGCCTCCCGTTGTCTCTCCACCAACATTTAGCTCATAAACTCTTTGGACAAGCACATCTCTCTGTCTCTAGGAAGCTTGACCTAAAATCTCTGTGGCACTACAACTGAAATAATTATAATAATTTCAGTAGTATAAATGCAGCCTTCAGCTGTTGGAGGCGGAAAACAGAAAATTAATCTTAAACACATGCATGTGTTTTCCTTTCTCTGAAATAAACTTTTCAAAATAGAAATATAACTACCTATTACCTAACTATATAAAGTAGAACTTTTCATTGAAAATTTTTGACAAGTCAACAAGATATCACTGGATTTTCTTGAAAGGAAGGGAAAGTGGAGAACAAAGCATCTGTTTTCAATGAACGGAAATTCTTCATGAAACCACAACCTTTTCAAGTTTAACGGAGAAAAACAAGCCAACTGCTCCCCAGACCATCCAAAGTATGGTTAGTTGAAACCCTGCAAAACAGCTAAAGAAGGAAATTGAAGAAATGAATCTTTACTAGTAAACTTGCATGTTCCTGTAGTAATATCAAATCTTACTCTGGAACAGGCAGACACAAATGACACTGACTACTAGTATGGTTTCATGGAAATCACGATATTTATTTTTTGACAAAACATATGCAAGTTTCAGTTGTAAAATTTATAAATAAAGTCAATCTTGGGACAGGGGGAAGGCCAGTGAGACTCTACTTCAGGCCAGATTTAAAAAGGAATATTTAAAATACCTGTCCAACTGATCAATCAAAAGATTCACTTGGATGGTCAAGGACTGTAAAAGATGATGACTCACCTGATACATTCTCTAGTAACTTTAAGGTAGAATGCTATATCACATGTGTGTTATTATATGCTGGAACAGAGAGGCACCATTCTAGGGAAGGTTCTGGTATGCATCATAGAGACAGTGCCTTTGTGAGCTCCTTAGTGGGACATAGGAGTATGGTCAATGTTGAAACACTGCAACAGGTTCCCCAGAGAGATGGCAAGTGACTCTTCTCTGGAAACATTCCAGGTCAGGTTGGATGGGGCTCTGAGCAACCTGGTCTAGTGGAAGGTGATCCTGCTCACTGCAGGGAGGTTGGAATAGATGACTTTTAAAGGTCCTTTTGAACCTAAACTACTCTACAATTATAATGCAGTGCATGTTTGTGGGACACGGCACCTCTGTCAGTCAGTCCTGGTGAGTCCTCATAGGAGAGAGAGCAACAGCCCTGAAGCCTCTGCATGGCTGGTGCATGACAGATATTAGGTTTTCCAACCCGTTCTGCTAAATGGAACAGACACAATGAGGATAAGACTCTACAGGGTCAAAATCAGGAGCCCTCAGCCTTTCCTTTGGGCAAGGTTCACACACACAGATTCCCACACAGACATAGGTGAGCTGTCTGTGGTGAGCACAGTCTAACCCTAAACCTACGCATGAATGCAAAGCTAAAGGTGAAGGTCAAATCCTGAAGTCCTTGAGCAGTCAAAATGTCCATTGAAATGTTATTAATTCCTGGGGTAGTGAAATGATCCGTGTATGTAGAGAAGAGACAACAAGTGTTTCCCTTTTCCTAGAGCTGGTGGAGGCTGATTCTGCCTTGTATTCTGGCTTAACTCCTAACATTTGAAAAACAGCCAAGGACCACAGGTAAAAAACAAAACAAAACAAAACCCACAGTATTTTCTCCACTTAGATTTGCAGAGAAGAGAGGGTATGTCAAGTGACTTTATAATGCAGAGGAGCCTTAGGGCAATCATGAAGTGGGCTTTTAAGCAGGTATTTCTGCATGAGAACTGAAAGGAACTCCAGGACCTGGTCTGGAAGATGCTGTGTCAATGCTGCGTTTTTGAACTATTACAGGTTTTTATGGTCAGCTCCTGATGGGTGGCTTGTGGGGAATTACCATCAGGTTGTACTTTCCTTTTTTTTCTTCAGAGATCCTTTCAGTTTCCTCCAGAGACTGTCTTTCTTCTTCGTCTTCTTCTCTACCATGGGCAGTGTGGACTCTTTCCTTCGGATTTCCCTCACTAGTCTGTGAAAGACATCATCAATGTAGAAACGGAGGGCAGCTGAAGTCTCAAAAAAGGAGCAAGAGTATTCTCTGGCTAAGCTCATTCCTTCTTCAGTCGAGACCTACATGGAAAAGAAAAGTCCATAAATACTGTCTAATCCACAAAGCATGAATCATCACGAGAACATTACAGTGAATTTTGTCTGACTTTTTGGATACTGCAAATCCCTGACCTTGAATTTTACAAGGTCAATTTTACAAATATTCTAACTGTACCTTCCAGAGGAGATTAACGGGTGAAGGTGACAGACTGAATCCATGAGATGTCTGAACAGAGCATACTGGCTATAATCATGTGCTAAGGTATACTATCTCCCTAATGGTGATGCATCATTTTTTCCATGTGTTTCCTATTTTTAGTTCAGTGATCCTCTAGTTTGATAGTGCTGATACCTCTATTCCATAGACTGGAATGGATGGCAACAAAGTCTTACACAGAATTAAGGTCCTAAATAATCCCTGTCCAGCATTAACCTAATCCTGGAGGCAACCTGACCCTTTAAGCACACCAGCTTTCACACACTATGATTTTTTCAGTCACATTAATTTCTGAGCACACCTTTAAGTGTTTTGGTCTTGGCAGGCCTGTAATCCTACCACTGAGCTCACTCTTGAGCTGTACAAAGATCCAAAATCTATCTGATTTTCAGCTCATCTTCCCGAAGTAGCCTTATGCGCTTATTCTCACAGAACATGGGGGAAATGTATCAGTATTTTAAGCAACTGTAAGAGAATGAATCACCATGAATCTAGAAGGAATCAAGGCAGCTCGTTTTTTAATTTACCTAAATTTTGAAACAGAAGTCTTATTTGTCAAATTTCTGTACCAGTTATCTCTTGATATTCACCTGCCAGCCTAGTAAAAGGAAAAGTGCTTAGTATGATGACTAATATTTGGTTTAAACAGAGTTTAAGTGCTTATAATAAGTAGTACCATTCTGATATTTAAGGGGTTTTTTTTGCACTTTAGGAGTTCATTGAGTAACACGTAACAAGTCTACAGCGAAACAAGAAATAAACTCTAGGAGCTTCTGAATGTTAAACTTGCTTTTCAACCAGTCTGTCTTTCCTTTTCAGTATTTGAACGTAAAACTGCATGAATGAACTCTACAGTGTGTATTCAAATTATTAGTGAGAAATTCCAGCCTTTGCTTTTTTTGTATTTGGTTATCATGATTTATTCAAGTAACTTTCCAACCATCTGGATAAAAAGACGGAAAAAGAGTAGCTTGAAACATCTTGGTTAAAGGCTACATAATAGCCAATGAAAAATCTCAATCACTACTATCCACCACAAGAATAATCCTGGAGTGTTTTTTGCTTATTTCTGTGTTAGTGCATCCCTAAGGTAATTTATATTTATTAGGGAATAAACCCTCATGTTTCAAGACACAAACAAACTCTAGCATACCTACTGTGAGGATTTTTTTTTGCATCTGTCTGTAAAGCTGGGGACAGTGGGAAATAGAATTTGGGAAGAAGCAGAAAATCTGTTCATTCCAGCCTGGTAGTAAATTTGCACTGAGCGTGTAGCTGCATAACACAGACCATAAAATTCCTCGCCATCACCTTCACACTGAGTCACAAACTTTGTAACGTTAGTAGGTTCATTGTTACAGGTATAATCTTAGTTGCAGGGAGGTTGTTTGCCAACCTGAATAATACACACAGACACAATGAAAGATTGTTGCCACTTCCCAACTGCCGTAATTGCCAACCTTTAGCAAGGGGAGACGGGTAGCAATCTGGTCCTTGTTTTTCTCTGGGCAGCTGTGTAAGCAAAATGTGTGATTCAATATGTCTATTGGGCACCATTGAGAAATTGATAGTCTGGATAGAATATTATTTTGGTCTATTTTGGACTTTACAATCTTTTTTTTTTTCCCCTTGCTATGCCATGTTTGAGCGGAAGGAGGATTTTAATTTTATTTTATTTTCTTAAAGACACTGCACGTTTGAGCAAATGATTACACAGAGCTGCAGTTTAAGTAAAGATTTTATTCATTCATTGCATAAAAAGGGAAGAAAAATGCACATAAAATGCACATTCTTATGTTAAAGAATGGTAAGGTCATAAATACAATTAAGCTGCAAGCACAGCAATACTCAAATATTAAAAAATGCCCTTTCTTTCATTCTGTGATTTTCTTGTCACTGCCCATTTAATTCCTCTTTTGTTCCACTCTTTCTTTTTTCCTTTTTTTTTTTGTGTGTGTGTGTATGTACATTTTCTACACTCAAAACGATATTTTCTCCCACCTGCAAGGAAGAACTACAGGGAAGACATGTTATGCTCCATAATGAAACAATACTGCTAAGAGCTGCGAAAACTGGAAAATACTCAAGAGAAATAAAGTGTGCTAAAAAGCTTTCTTTCAGTCTCTGTGTAGCTGGAGGTTCTCAACTTAGACAAATTTGGCTGCATTTCTATAAAAAGCATCAAAAGTTTGAGTTTGGACTCTAATTTCCTACCAAATCACTGAGACAACATTAAAGTTATTAATGGCACTAGTTCATTACAAAGCATGGTATTTTTCTTCAGCCTTGCCCTCAGGAACTGATTAACTGCTCTGGTGAAATTTTATGAATTAATTCAGCATAAGGAGGACACCTGGCACAAACAGTTTGAAGACATTTAGATAAAGGTTTTCAGCTAAATGCTGGAAACAGGATTTTCTGAAATCTAATGCAGTCATAATTACCATTACTGCTTCCAGCATCAATGAAAATATCGCTACAGCAACTTAATTAATCTGTTTGCTGAAGAAACTGTAAATAGAAAGAGACGTCTAGAGAAAAAAAAATACATTTATTTCTTTTAGTTCATAATTTACTCAAGAGGCTAGACACCAATGGAATGAGAAATAAGGGATAAAGCCCTTGATGAGCTCACTGACGCCTACATAATTCCAGGGATTTACCTTGTTCCCATCTTATCACTAGAAGAAAAACTATATCATAGAAATCCATTCCAGATCTGCACGGCTTAGGACTTGCTGACAAATTGCAGTTTCCGCAGGTCTGTATCAGCAGAAGATATGATCTGCGTGACATGGACTGGCAGGTCAGGGAGTGAGGTCATTCTGTTGAACATATGTCTGGGAAGCAGAGCTTTATATCTCATCTTTAAAGTAATCCTCCGTGATTGAATCCAGCATTGTTTCCCAGAGCATAATTCTGGTTATATTGATTCCAATTTAGCTCGTTTCGTTGCTGGTGAACCTCGAGAAGCGAATGAAGGTGGGAGACTTATGAAGTGAATCATATCAATCATGGAATGGTCTAGGCTGGAAGGGACCTTAGAGGTCATTTTAATCCAGCCTCCCTGTTGCCAGGGACGCCACCTCTCAACTGGATCAGCCAACACATGGGGACCAAATGGGATTCGAACCCATGACCTCGGCGTTGTCATTGCCCTGTTCAACCGACTGAGGTAACCAGCCCCCTAAAGATAATGAAAATTTGAGAGCTGGAAGAAGCTTCCTGAATTTGATCCAAACTTTAAAAACTGTGATTGTCTCTGTGGAGTTCGGATCAAGACTTAAAAAAGCAGAATATGAAGCGTGCAGTGTAACCAAAGAGAAAGATCCTCCAGATGATCAAGTCCTAAAAGTGAGTAACAAAACTTCATGAATGTAATTGTCTGAGACCTAGGAAAAGGGTCTTTTCATGTCTTCCTCACAAAGTCTACAGTTCTGAGTATCAATTTGGGCACATGTGAGTTGAGAAGAGAGATACATCTGTCACAACAACATGTGGACTACACATGAGACTGGAGGCTGAATTTGGGAGTTTTTTATCTCTGGATAGTTCAGGGCAGCTGGAAGGCAGCACAGCTTTCGTATGACAAGACATATTCACTGGCCTTAAACCACATTTTATAGCATTAAGATTCTGTTTGTGGCTTTTACAAACCTCCTTTGGAAAATTACATGTGAGATTAAATGCAATGTTGACAGCCTGTGAAAGCCATGATGGATGAGCTGCCATTTTTAAGACAGCCAGTTCCCCAGTAAGGTCAGCTTCTGTGCAACAGAGAGCAGAGCACAGAGCCACCCGGGCTGGATGGTGGGTGGGAAGCTGCTGGCAATCATTGGACCCCATAGGTAGAACATACAAATATGTGTACCTCAGAAAGAAAGCACAAAGAAACTACACAGATCAATAGTCTACCTCTGCCCTTGCAGTGTCATTAGCGGGAAAATCTCCATGAGAATCAGACTATTTTGTGCTCAGCTTTGTCTCTGTTTTGGACAAGGCAGCAACAGATGCATCCTAAAGCAGATTTCAATGACGGAGACAGCATTAGCTGAGTCAAGAGTATCACCTTGGGTGAGCTAGTGGTAATCTTCATGAAGGAAAGCAGCACATTTCCTCTTATGTATCTCAACCCTGAAACAGCATGACTACCTGAGATCCCTTTTGCAGCTTTCCACCTATGACTGGGACCTCCATGATGCCATAGAGAGGTCTGAAGGCCATGGGCAGAGTAGTAAGGTTTTCAAGGATTCTTCTAAATTTTCTTTACAGATATCCATCCACTCATTAACTTTGCAATGGGAAACAGATAGACAATTATAGATCCAAAAGCTTTGTTCTGCAATTTTTTTATTTTGCTGAAGAGATATGATCTTGATCACTAATCAAAGACAAAAGGGCACACATTGCTCAACTGAGTGCTCATCTAAATCCCACTGAGGCTAAGAGGAGGAATTCCAGTGATTTTTGATCAAGCTCTGTATTTTTTGACAAGCAAAAATTTATATCATAAACAAAAGATAACTGTTTAAGAATATAGGGAATCATAGAAACATAGAATGGCCTAGGCTGGAAGGTACCTTAGAGATCATCTAGTCCAACCTCCGTGTCATGGGCAGGGACACCTCTCAACTAGATCAGGCTACTCAAGGCTCCATCCAACTTGGCCTTGAGCATCTCCAGGGAGGGGGCAGCCACAACATCTCTGGACAATTTATTCCAAAGTCTTGCCACCCTCGTACTGAAGAATTTCTTCCTGAAATCTGATCTAAATCTATTCTCCTTCAACTTAAACCCATTTCCC